GGTGGGGGGGGGGGGGGTGGGGGGGGGGGGGGGGGGGGGGGGGGGGGGGGGGGGGGGAGAACGCCTGCCCTTCCGAAGAGAAGCTCGGAAACGTACCCACTGGGCTACAAGGGGACTCCTTGACTTGGTTAGCAAATTTAAAGGTACCTATAGGCACCTGGAACTTAGCTGTTATTGACAGCCTAATCTTGCTTAGAAGAATGTGGCATGAAAGAAAAGACAGATGAAGACTGGCCTCCCACTAATTTGTAGCTACTCTAACGATTGTCTTTCCTCTAAGAATAGTACAGTTCGCCCTTGTGTAACTATCCCCGAGGAAAGCTTTAATATCTTGTACAAGGTTTATTCTTTCCAACCTGAAAAAATTTCAAATTCAAAAAATTGGAAAATTCAAGAAATTTTAGTTAGGTTTTTAAATAGCCTTGCATTAGTTTTAGAGTTTTTTCGAAGTAAGGGAATGTCAATATAACTAGTGATTTATGGACGTAATTAGTGCCCATAGCTCGGAAATGGGGATGTTTTTCATTAAGGGTGGAGTTCCAAAGGTTTGGGGGTGGCAACTTACTTTTCAATAAGGTTTGTTCGGCGCGTTGTCTATTGGTCAGAGCGCTGAACTTGGACTTCGTGGTGAAGGCGTGAGCATCCAGAACAAGACAATATTGCGACTATTACATCCTTCCTTTACAAACATTTTTTTATTATTATTTCACTTCCAAATTATAAGTGAGAAGTCAAAATTAAATTATTTTGTTACATTTCAATACTTTCGAACCTCTTCTTACAGACACCTCTCTATTACGAACTGTTTTAACCTTGGTCCCGGCAAAATGGTCATATATTTTCTGTAAAAAAAAATCCTATGATACGGACACTCTCTAATGCGGATAACGGACTCAAACTCTCGGACCCAGGGAGCAAAATTCATATAAACTTAACTTCTTCATTAGCGACAAAACAGTGACGATTTCATATTCAATACTATTTACATGTAACTACGATCTACTGTTTGTGGTTTCAAATGAAACTTAGTCAATATTGTCTTATTATGCAAATGTACAATAGAAGTGGCACGTGTTATCGTCATTTTTAACCCGGGGGGACTCCCACATAAAAAAAGACGGGGGTGCTCGTCGGAAGTTTTGAAAATAGCCCCTAAGAGGTACCAAGATCCTGTTTTGTGGGCGTGGTTTGAAATTTATTTCACCTCTTAGAGGTAGCAGTTCTAAAACAACACATTATCTACTGTCATATTTTTTTCAGCTCAATAACCTCAAAGGTATCCACAAAAGCCCCCGCTGTGGAACTTTTGAGGCTGAGCACATTAGGAGGTACCAAAACCGCTCTTTTAACCTCTAAAAGTTACGACACCACCCTCGTCCTTTTTACATGGGAGTCCCCCCAGGATTTATAATCGGGATGAAGACTTACGTAGTATTGACTTCTCCGCTGTACCACGATTACGCCATTAACGACGACATGCAGTGATGTTCATTAACTTGTTTCCCTTTGGTGGGCCTTGGATTTGACGTCACATCAGTGATTTCTATAATATGGACAGTTTGTTCTGTCTCCTCATTATTAGAGAGGTTCCACTGTATTTAACTCGTCTTGGGGTATTAGGTGTATAATGCAAGGGGAGAAACTTAACGCGGATTAGAATTTTCATTCCCAATGACAGGTTGTAGTTCGGGCGTCGTGAAAATCCTTGAAACGGAGATGGGGGAATCTTTTTTTTTGGGGGGGGGGGGCCGGGGAAGGGGGGAGGAATCTGTTGTTTTTCCCCCGAATGACTATGATAGCGTAGCGTGCGCGGCTGATGAGATTTCGCGCGCGACTGCTTGTTTCGGCGGCGGAGCGGCGAGGGAATTGTTAGATAATGTTTTTAGCATTAGTCTATGTCGTTATTGTCTTTTGGTTGCGCGAACAATCCGCCAGTTACGCAGGCTATAATTACATTTAGTATCACCCAACTAGTGGACTAATGCAAATCCTGCATTTTAATTTGCTACCTTACTAGAGGACTATTAGTAATAGTCCTCGAGATGCGAAATCGAGCGTGAAGCTTTCTTTTGTTTTATTCCCAAATAAAATTTCTTCAACTTGCATTTGCTAACTTTATTATTGCGTTTTCTGTCCGACTAGTTGGGTGATACTAAAACAATCAGACCCTTCGCCCTCGAGGGCCACGGGTCAATAGCCCATTCGACTTCGCCTCATGGGCTATTGACCCGTAGCCCTTGCGGGCTACGGGTCTAATTGTTAAGTATGACTAAACTTCGTAAACGCAAGATAAAGGACTACTAAGTAAATAAGTTCCTCTTATACTGTACTAAACAGACTTTTTCGGTAACTTACACTATGTCGGTAACTTATACTACTCGTTAGAGTTATTGGTCGAGAGTTTGATTCCATTACCACTGATGTTTAAGCTGTGCGGTTGATTTACTACTGACAACTCAATGATATGCAAGGAAACAGTAAGCACTGAAGGACATCACAAGCATAATCCACTTACAAACTAAAGTTCCAACGCCACTGCATGAGCAGGGCATTTGATATGGAGTTTTACTGTCATTAAACGGCTTCCAACTGTGCCACAAAAAAGAAAATACTTTTGAACAGTTTCCATATGATGCCAGGTACGTGGGACCTCTGACTGGCTTAGCGTCCTCCGGTGAATACATGCTGCTGTCTGTGCGCCCGCCGTACGCACAGCGGTCGAAGTTCAGAAAGTAGATCGGTGAATCTAGAATGCAAGAACATGACAAATTAGCCTGGTGACAGGGACCACTGTTTTCTAATATCGCTCGACCAACTGTAGCCCAGAAAATTCATTTGCTATGGCACAGATCGGCGGGAAGTCTCGCTAAAACTCACCAATCAATTTCGGGCCTCTGGCCTTTCGCTAAATGGCGCATAAGACTTTTTTCAATTCAACTTGCTGCAGGAAATTCACCCCAGCGTTCCATTCAATGAAACGTTTTTGTTTTGTGAAACCCATCATGCAGAACCTAAAATTGCCCCAAAATAACTTACGCAAGACTGGAAAGGAGTCTTTCTAAATTAAGAATTACAACAAACATGTATTCAATATCAATAGTTATCAATTACCCACCCGGCAAAACTGCAAAATCTCAAAATGAAACCCGCAAACATGTTTGCTTCCATTAAAATCTTTTCCAAGGTTTAATAGAAGCAATAGCTGGCGAAGATCTCGCGGCAGAGTCAATCTCGCCTCTCCTAGTACCCAGTTGAATTTACTCTCCAAGAGAAAGGGTTACATACCTGTCATACCTGCGTTTTCAAATGTCATTGGTTTTCTTTCTCCTGCTGGTATCTTACTCAAAAGATTCTTGAAGTGGAAAGGTATAAAACGGACGTTTATGTCCTGTAAACATAATGAGAATAAACGGTTAACATTCCCATTCTCAACACGACACTTTAACGTACCACAACAACACACATTTCATTTCTAAGTACATCTGTGAATACGCAGTGAAATTGCCGATGGCAACGAAATCACTTAGTTTATCAAGTAGGATCAATAAGGAATATTTTTGAGTCAGGCCTACTAGTCGCTTGTACTGTTTGTTTTCATTTGGAGAATAAACTGCATTATAATCGTTATCGTTATTGTTATAATTATTACATTCTAGTGTTTCAGACTCTCATATTAAGTTATAAAAGGACGAAAGAGAAAGGAAAATAAGAGATAGGACTAACAAGATCTTGCTATCGTCCTTCCATGTTTTCTCTGTTTGGTCCATTCTACCACGGTCTAAGCCAGACTTGACCAAGCTAATTATTTTACATGTAAACAGTTAAATGAGTGGGCCAGTGGTTCGAATGGTTGATAACGTGTGAATCGTCACCCAACAAAATGTTGTCTTTTGCACGGTCAAAGTCAATGTTCCACCCTTATTATAAGTTGCTCTGTACAACACAGTCGAACCTCGATCATGACATACGCGGCTTATTGTGTAAGTAAGGTGAAACACAGCAGAAACACTCGCTGTAAGGTAGGGTAAGGTAAATTTATTTTGAGTCGTAAACGTGTGGAGTGGTTGCCCAATCTCCCGACCCGGGGGCTTATGACAAAACGCACGACTATCTATTCTGTGCAAAGCAATTTAACGTGAAGAAAGCAACGCACCTCGTAGCTTGAAGAATAATTACACGTCATTTTGGGTTGTTCACTGCTGGACCCAGTGTGGCACAAGAAATATCGCCAGCGCGTTCCTGGCGTGAGCACTTCGTACAAAAGGAATCCCAGGAGTCCAAGAAAAATAATAAGTCCAGTGATGAGAAAGAACATTCCTGAAAAAGAATAAAAGAGAATTTTAACAAAACGTCTTGTCTCCCATTAAGTCCTCAGGAAAAAAATACTCATTGTTTGAATAGGGAAGCTCGTCAGATGCATCTTGTCGTGTCCCTAGTAGCCTCCTATAAGCAGACGCTCGTAGGGCTCGTCACGCAATCTTGAACATCTGCGTAAATGGCTATGTCCCTAGCTAACTGGCCCTGAATTAGTTTTATTTTTTTTCTGGCTGGGGACAAGACAATTGGTTCAGGTGCCGTACGATTCATCAACCTCTGGTATGTGGCTAAGTGTCCTCACTAGAGGCTGCAAGGTGACAATACATATTTGCTGCCCGCTTAAAGCAAGTGAGAGCTGAAGTATATCGCAAAATAAGTAAGATGAATAGCTATTGTCAGAGTATGACTATTGCACTATTTCTGTTTTTGGAATAGTATTCACGATCTAAAAAGATGACTGCGGAGGAGAGGGGACGTCTCTCTAGGCTACGAAACTGCGTCTTGATAAAGTTTTGTTATATATATTACTCTTTTTGCAAAATAAACACAAATCAGACTTACGCCGGCAGGTTCTCTTGTTAGACTTGCCTATGGCTACCTTGATGTCCATGTCAATGTTTTCCATGATGTTTTCCACTTCGTTGGATAGTTGACGACTGTTGATCCCCAACACGATGCACACGAAACTCTTCACCAAGTTGACCTCGTCATGGTAACGAGACCGGCATGTTTCCATAGCCATGCCAAGTAGCGTGTGGTTCCTAACGATGAACGCCCCTAGAGGAAGATGGGATTCTGGGACGCCTGTGCCTGGGTTGTCCGTGGACGCGTAGATGCGTTCACCAGTCTGAACTGATCCCACGATCTGTACTTTCACCATTCCAATAACACAAACGATGTCCGTTTGTCCTGTTAATAAACACATGTCCATTCAATCAGCCGAAAACTTGGAAAAAGAGCCTGCTCGCAGCCTATGATAACTGATGCAAAATTCTGTTGACAGAATCGCCATTCAGCGATGGACCATCCCTCTTATAACAGAACTTCTTGTTCAATGATCCCTGCCCTTAGCTTATAGTCCATGCACCGCTTATGGTAAATGACTCACGTCCTGGCGTTCCATCCTTACTAAAGTCACTGCCGTCTTCTATGCATGTTATAAAATGACATGGAAAATGGTGATAGTAGTTGATGATATAATGCAAGCATTTTTCTGGAGGAAACTTGATGAAGAGGAAAATTTGCGAGTTTTGTATCATTCAATAATATTTATAGCACTATTGCTTCACTACAGTAAAAGTACACATAAAATGTAAATATAACAACTCGACAATACTCTCTACCAGAAGCAGAAAAGCGCCAACCTTTGTCACTCTCTGACGGCGCATGCGCCTCCACATACGCAGATCTGCTTATTACCCCAGCCATGACGGCCTGGGATACATTTTCATTGCTCAGTGGTTCAATGGTGGCCACTCCTTCGTCGTCGGCAAAAAAACCCACCACCACTCCCTCGTCCAGGGTTTGGTACAGATCAGGGTTAGTGAGTCGCAAGTGATAAGCGATGTCACCTCTTGGTGTCTGCATCATACAGCTGAATGTCAGACAGTCAATGTTTGCTTGCTGAGCTTTTAAGTGATTGACAACAAGCTCATCGAGGTGTGTTTCACCTTGATAAAGAAAAACTGGTTAAAACGTTTGTTGTAAGAGGAAAGACACATCTCAAACTCATTAATAATTCATCAAGGTTAAACAAAGGAAATCAAGAACGTGACGGTGTGTGGATATCTGATCTTAATTAGCATAGATTTTTACGATTTTATCTCTCCGTTTTCTCCTTTATTTTAGTTTCGATTGAGAAGATACATCAAACACTCAAAACAGTGTTTGAACACATTTACAAAAACCTCAAAGTTCGTCAAAAATACTCCACTGCGCGTCGTATTTTCAACTTTCTTTTCAGTGTTTGGAAATGTGGTCAAACAAACACGATCTTTCGTGTTTGATATATTACTAGAATTCCAAATTTTGCAAGGGGGGCGTCACATAATATGCTGATGAACACCTTAGGAAGGAATAACGAAGAACATGTATTAAATAATCATCCAAACTAAGCGATTAAGGATAAAAGTTCTTTCGGACCATCATCGATATATACGATTTCTGTTGTGGTTTGAGTTATAGTGGGTAATGGAAATGTGTAGAAGTGGCATTAACTTAGAATGAAATGCACCTTCTGAACTCAAGGGAGAGTTTCTGGAGCCCATGGAACTCGGCGATAATGGCGACCTTGCCTCTGTAAAGAAAAAAAAAAAACGAAAAACATCACTCAATTGACGCTTTTGAAAAATTAGGTGATCCGAATGAACATGACACGTGACTGTGTACATCACATAAGGATTTCTTTAGCGTACCTGTAGAGTCTGCCTCGTTTTGTAACGGAGCGTACTTTACGGCTTGTTTGCCACGGTTCCATCTCAAAGAGCTGGTCGGCAACGTGTTGGACCTCTTGCGTTTCTCTTTGAAATAATTGCCAGGTTCTGTGGAGTAATAAAGGTATCTTGGTTGAGGCGCCCTTGAGATGGCTTCGTAACCCCTTAAAATACATGAAACCTCAAAATGGGGTAAAATTCAGGTGGTCAATTTCTGTGTACAGCTTTCTATCTTTTTTTTGAAAATCAATGTACTATGGCAAGTGGCAAGTGGCAAGTGATTTACTCTTCTGGTCCAAGTCGTTCGAAGGCTGGTTAACTCTATCCACCGGATAAATTGCTCTTCAGTGGATAAGTGTCAACAAAACAAACCACGCTATCCGCTGGAGCGTTATCCACCTTTCGAACAACCCCGGCCAGAATTGCAAAGATGTTTTGCAATTTTAATCCAAAGCTAGCACAAATTTACAAAAATCTGACCCTGTTAAAACCCGATGCTCTATCCCTTGCCTGGCGTCTTGAAATGTTCTGCATTTGTCCACAAACGACAAGACCATGTGACAAACTAAGCTACCGCAGAAAGCTTACTCTGATAGCCCCTTTGCACAACCCGGTCACATGGTAAAAATCAGACATGCTGGGACGCATGTTACACAGCGGGACATCCAAAACAAAGCAACTCGCGCCAGTCCACCTTGACCTGCCTTTGTTTTTGGAAGTCCCACTGTGCAACTTGCGTCCCAGCATATCTGATTTTGTACCATGTATCATCATCATTATCATAATTATCATCATTATCATCATCATTATCATCATCATTGTGGTCGTCGTCATTACCATCGTCATCAGTAAACAATCTTTATTCATTCAAACACGATAAAACTTACTTCAAAGTATGAACCACACTGCGTGAGCTGTTTTATTCATCGATCTCAAAGATTTAAGTGATTATTCAAAATGGCGTACCTATTTGTTCTTCACTCAATCGCTTTGTCTTTATCAAGAAAGGCTTTGACTTGATTTGATCACTGACGTTGTTATCAGTGAACACGATCTGAACCAACAGTTCAAACAAGTTTCTCTCTTGGGTGTGAACTTTTGCCAGTTTGTACACTGGTCTTTCTGATCCATCCATCTTGTATACGGAGTCCAGATCCACTTGGTACTCTAACTGTATGGTAGAGATCAGAATTTAATATCATGATCAATATCCCAACTCTCTCAAACAACGGCAAAAGAATATTAAATTAGTATTGCACAAAAATGGTCTTTTTTTTTCTCCAAGAAGGTTGTGAGAAAATTTCACTGACCAAGCCTTGACTTCAAAACTGCTCGTTTCAGTTCTTATATAGTTCAATGGTTCATAACAAGTTGCCTAGTATAAAGTTGAAGAGGGATGTTTGTAATAGGTATAATCACGAAAGCACTAATACAGGTAATTGATGGAATTAGCTATAATCTGAACATCAGGTAAGTTGTCCCGGCAAGGGAAAAAAACCCTAAATATTAGCAAGCTTCATGTATAACTGAGCGACTAATTTGTGTTGCGATGACGGTCAGGCTGTTTATGTACTTGATCAGTTCTACTTACATTTCCGCTATCCTTAAGCTTCCTCAGGAAAACAACTTCAATCGACACCATGCCATTTTCATCCTTTTCTAGCTTGGCTGCGTTTTCTTCTCTTTGGACCCAAGCTTTGACGCTCTTCACCTGGCGTTCAGATCGAACTAGGAACTTCACCTTTCCGTTAATGATTCGCTGCCGTGCTTGTTTGTCTTTCCGACTCTGCTGCTTCTCAAAGACGCGATTTTCCAGGTCACAAAACTTCACTTCCAGATCTGGGATATGATAGCGATCAATATCGATTTCCGTCCCAGCATCGAAGGGGTTGATCCCAGCCAGGTCAATGGACACACCCTGCTGTGGACAACCGTCAATGTCACCAATGCTTTGCGTAACGCCATAAGAAGGGGTATAATCACTTCCGCCAGTCACCAAGTTTGATGATGTTATGATGCCAGCGCCAGTGACGATCGTGTGCTGGCTTTGACGAAACTGTCCGTTTATTGAGGGTGTCACCAAAAAGCTCGGATCATTCGGGGTCATGCCGACAGCGGCCGAGGTATCTCCGACAGGCACCGAAGATGCATGCCACATACCAGACGAGGAATTCTGGCTTGTTAAGGTCGAACTTCCCGGAAACTCTTGCCCCCTTGTTATCACCTCTAAGATCCTGCCCATTTGATCTGGAGACATGGATAACTGGGTGCTTTGCTCAAGGCTCTCCACTTGGAAATTGCCGCCTGTCGCGTTTTCGGTAAGACTACTAAGATATTCTGTTTGTTGCTGAAGAGACGTTGGTTCATCAAGTAATGGAGTGGAAGAATGGGCTGAGAAAGGCATTAAGCTGGGATCACCCGAAAATGAGATATGTTGACCATGCCAAAGGCTTGAACAATGAGCGCCTGTTAAAAACAACAACAAAAAAATAAGATCAACACAAACATGTAACAGTGATCCTCGAGATTCGGAACTGAAGTGAAAACAACATGCCAGTAGATATTGTTTCATCTCGATGAGAAACGTAATATCTCAGCACCCAAGTGCGAAGCTGCAATGTTGGCTCAGAGTCAAAAGCAAACAATTTTCTACTAAAAAAACAGCTTTACTAATAGATTTTAGCGTTCAGTGAGTTGTACTTTGTGAATCTCGAATCAAGATCTATTTTAGTACTTTGTTAAACAGTACGAGATTGATCGAAAGAGTTAAAGAATTCTGCCCCTTCGCACTTTGCTCCGGGTAGTTTGCGTTACTTAGAAAAGGTATTCCCCTGAAGGTTCCTTGGGAGCCCCGGTGAAAAATAATCAGGTCACAAACCTTTGTTAAAAAAAATTTTGTCGGTTCATGTATCGCTGAAAAGACATATATGGTTCGGAAAGAAAGGAAAACAGTTTGTCACTAGCGGCGCTGTAACTGAAGCCAGAAATATCCAATCATGATCAAGGAAGTTAATATAGTGAAACTCATGAGATGTTAATGCTTCTTCAGAGAAAAGGTTACTAAACTACTAATTTTCATCGTGGGTTTCGAACCTCCTACGACCACTCATAACATCATGGTCTCTTCTTTATACTTTCGAGGCGTTTCAATCCCCTAAAAACTGCAAACATTAAGGGGAAAGAAAATCGTTCCTTTAACTTATCCGGTTAGAGCATATATCTGACCATCAGCGTAGAAATGAACAGCGTTACACTATGCATTTTGTGTCATAACTTAGAACAGAGTCAGTCAAGATATATTCTTATCTTTTTACCAATTCTCGAATGATGAGATAGAAGAACGGATGTCGTGAGATCAGTCAAGACGTGAAATTGAATGACATTTTCAAGCTAAACTATTTAGTTCACGATGATTTGGTTTACACTGTTAAGTGGCCTAAGGCCTAAAGCAACATAACCTATTGGAGTTAACTTGAAAACAATTTCTCCGTCGACCTTAGTAGACTGACAAAATATGGCAAACACTGTAGAAACTACAAAATCCATCCCAGGCAGTCGGTTTCAGTGAACACTAGAGAATTCCGTAGTCCTTTCACGGACCAATGCTACACCTTTTCCTTGAGCTAAAGAGACACTAGAACCGACAAAAAGGAAGGAAGCTGAGGTATAAGGTGCTTCTATTTAGTTCGACCTAGAATCCGCTTTCCTTACCGTTGTTTTGACATGAAGGAAGCAGTCTCTCTCGTAGATTACTCATCTAGCCTGTAACTGATATCGCGCTTTCAACTGTACTGATGAACCAAGCGACAGCTGTTCAGTTCTCTATGCACCAATTCGAGTCACGTTCATTTATCTGCGCTTCCACAACGTATGTATACTTATGCCTAGAATAAAAATAATGTTCTTATATAACAGTGGGTTTTTCCCGCGATGTGAAACACTAGATTGACCGAAGTGACTGATACGGAAATGCTGACGACTTGTGACGTCACGAGAAAGCTGAAAAGGCAAGAGAGTAACAGAAAAGGCAGATTCTGAGTGCTGCTGTCACAGAGAGCTAATCGATTTTACACGTACAGTTTTCTCTGGTTCACTCAAAGGCACAACACGATCAAATGGTTCATCTCAGTCTGATGTAGTGAAAAATGTTGTTCGACGACGAAGTGGAAGTAAAACTTACCATATTTGGTACTTTTCAATTTAAAACAAAAAAAATTGGTAATACCTTAACTTTCTTCCAGTTCCGTGATGAAATATCATCAGGCAAAGGAATTATGGGATCCTCTCTCTTTTAAATTTCCCCATCATCATTTTCCACGCCCTAGACTGAAATTAAATGATACTTTGTTGATTCTTCCAAAAACCGAGTTCAGTAACTAATGTTCTTTACTCATTTAAAACATTCCCATTGGTTAGGCCTAGCTCACACAAGCGACATAACTACATAATCACATATTTCGGTACTGTGGTTATCGACATAAAGACATCAGGAAAAGATCAGTTTTTTTCCCTGATTTCGTTATTTTCATGCTGTTATGTTGTTATTATGTCGTTATGTCAGGATGTTCGTACTGCAAACATAACGACATAAAGTCCTTCTTATGTCGTTATGTCGTTAGTGTGAACTAGGTTTTACTAAGGCACCGTTTCTTTTGTAGATTTCGCTAGGTCAAGAGACGGACAGACTAAAACTCACACCAAGTGTGAACAGGTCAGTAATGGAGGCGGAAGTAGAAGAGTTAAAATTCCAACTCCAGTAGAACTAGCAGCCAGAGCGGGATATTGAGCTTTCTGTTTAGATTCTTTCGGAAAGTATGTGTCATTTAAGTGAGCTTCGGCATTTTACATCCTAATAGTCCATCTGAAGTAAGACTCGTAAGATCTGTCAGATGGCCAACTTCAACATTATTTGGGTCTTCGTCACGCATTACGTTTTTCACTAAAATGTTGCGTGACTACCCAAACATGAAATTTCAATGGAAAGGGATAAGAATTGAAAGACTGTGAGGGGGTAGCAGGGTGAATATACTTTATATGGCTGGCCTAACCTATAAATTAGTTAAATGCATCCTTATATTTTCAGTTTGTTACTCCTTAGAACTCAGGCAAGCTGTGTAAAACCTATAAAACGTCAAGCAGCGTACGTCAGATCGAGGTCTCAAAGCGTACGTGTTAGCAAAACAGGAAGTTAACGGCCTCGTTTCTGAGCAGGGTGGGGGAAGCCCCTTCTAAGATTGGAATTGGATAACATTGGAATGGAGGCGCGAAGATGAGGCTAATGTTTTAACCTGAAACTGTTGATCTGGCGATAAAGCTCTAAAAATCGTCCGCATTGAATGTGTTATTGAAGGGACACTTTGTTCTTGTCGCTTGTTGACGCCGTGTAAAGTCGTTGCTGAAGACCCGAGTGGAAAATATATGTGCTTGTCGAAACAATCATGGCTGGACAAACAAGAGATCTAGAAGAGCTTAAACAGCCTCTTTTGGCAATGGACACAGAGGATGATTACGGTAAAACTTAACTGTTTATGGTTTATAATCTATACTATTAGGAATGCTCAGCATATGGCTTGATCCATGCAATGTTTTTGATTGCGTCAATCAAGTGTTTAACCTCGAGTATGAATATTCAACAACTGCTAGAGCCTTACAAAGGCGAAATTATGCTAGTAGTTTAAGAGAGAAGTAGAGCAGGAAGAAACAAATATAGAGATATCGATCACGGGGAATTGTTGATGATCAATTTTCGTTTTATCAGTCAGTTTGTATTGACTGATTTAGGTCGTTATTGGTTGCAATGCAGCACAGTCATGCCACAGCATATATTTGTCAATGTCGTAATTCAGTTATGTTCGAAATGTTTTAAATACAGTGGTTCTTCGTCAACTGTTCATTGTTTGCAGCTTCGTACTTCGTACTTTGTAAACTGGAGAATCTTTCGATATCATTCTGCTTATCGATGCTGTATCGCCAAGACTTAAAATGTTCATCGTTAGTTTCCGACCGGAAGTACAATTTGACATGCATCACTGAGGGCCTCTTCATATGAGCCCGGTCAACCGGGCTGGCTCGGTTTCCGAGATCTCTGCCTCGCCACTCTTTCCTTCGTAAGAATGTCGATGGGTTCATATGAGAAGCAGGGCTGGCCCGGTTACCGAGATCTCGGTTTTTGCGACCGATATCTCGGTAACTGGGATGAAAATTTTCCCATATGAACACTCCAGCCCGGGTAACAGGGACGAAACTTTTTAGTCAAAATAGTTTCGCTTTTGCAACATAGCGGCCAAATGGCATAATGTTTGTCTTGCATGTATTTACACTTTAGGAGTATGCGAATTAGCTTTACTAGTAAAGTTACAAGAGTTCACAAAGCTACGACAGCCGCGAACGATACAAGTTTATGTTCCACCATTTTGGTTGTGTTTCTTGGATTTCATCCCGGTTAGCCTGCGTTGCAGCCGGACGTGTCGGAATATACCGGCGGTTTAGACTGTCTGCGACGCAGGCTAATCCCGGTAGGCCGGGCTGGAATTTCCCATATGAAGACTATGAACAGACAATAAAATTCGTCCCGGTAACCAAGCGGGCCCGGCTACCGGGCTCATATGAAGAGGCCCTGAAGTGACTCGGAACCTTGAAAATCTCGGGTGTCGGAAAATTTTCGACCGATGTCGAAAACTCTCAAGGTTAAGTCACGAAGTCTCGTTTTTCTGTGTTTCTCTGTCTATGGGTTTGAAGTCTCAACATCGGATTTTCAAGTCTCGGCGAGTCTCGGAATTTATTTGTTGATATTTGGAGCAATAGATTATTGAGTAAAGGAGTACTATCATTAACATGACTTCGAAAATTCAAAACCCAAGGACATGTTTTCATCAATGGAAAGCTATGTAAGTGCACTGAAGCTATAATTGTATAAAAGGGTTGTTATAATAAGTTATGCATGCACAATGTTGTGGTGTTAAAAGTTGAAAGGTTTGTCGTCATGTCTCAGTTGCAAAAGTCCCAAAAAACTAATCACATTGTGCTCTCCCTTCAACATTTCACTTGTAGACAGTCATAATTTTAGTACTGTTGAGTTTTTTGACCAATGGAGCAAAATCGCCGTACTGCTGGCCCTCTAATAGGGTCAATAAGTCTCCCAGAACTCCATGAAAGTGAAATTATTTGAACTATAGAGTGTGTTCCTTGTCACGCAATAAAAAGTAAAATCAAAAACCATTCAGTGGATAAAGTCAAGAAATTGTGATATTATAGACGATAAATAAAGAAGACAGTTCTCCAAGTTTAAGGTGTGTGCGTTGTCCCAAAGTTGAAGTATCAGTCGAAATGCTCCGCGCAAAATTATTGAGCCTAGTATGGAGCCGCCATGTTGGTGAACCTCCTTGGTCCTCCAATATGCGGCCGGAAAATAGTGTAAATATCTGGAAATTACTTTGGCTATCTAGTCGACTCATTATCTGAACCGAACCAAAAAACATTTACACAAGCACTTTTCCTAATACTTTAACTCTTAAAATGGATAAAAATCACGAGATAAGTGTATATTTTTCGACAAACGCGATGTTAGCTTTATGTCACGCACCGCCGTAACTCCGAAATTCAAAATGCGCTGGTTTCCAAACGAAGGACGCTATTTAGCTGGAAAGTTGTAAACAGGTATAAATTTAGCACCTCTTATGCCGGATGAGGATAAAGCTTTTAGTGGCTCTTTAGTTTTGGATTTGAGAATTTCATGACGTCACGTGAACACACTCTATACACACATGCATGAATGTGAAACGCACCAAACGTCACAACAGTGCATGAGAACTGGGCCAGCGATTGAAGATCCCTGTCCTCGCGACCACGGAATCCAAGCTAAGTGGGCCAAGATATGGGCACATATTTGTTTTGAGTGGCGGCTGTCACTCAAACAGAGTTTCGATCTCTTCTATTTCGCTTTCGAGTGGAATTTTTTTATTCTAGAGATCTGTTTTGTTTATTTTCGTAATGTTATCCGATGTACTGAGATTGGATTAAAGTAAATTGCTGCAATACCTGTGGTGTTTTATCCGACGGAGTTTAATTTTTCTTTTTATATAGTTACATTTCCTGATGGCTTAGTTTACTAAGTGCGCATATTTTTCAACCATACTTTCGAGTTACTGACGTCATTGAGTGGTAAACATCTCACGCTTTCTTATTTTAGAAGAAAATGAACAGAATACGGAAGTAAGACTTGCTGTGGTACCATGCTAAAATCACAAACAAAAAAAAAAACAAATATCATCTCATGGAAACAAATTTCAGAGCAAGGATACGTGATTCACCTACAGTTCTGTATCGGTCTGTGTATACTAACCAAGTCAAGTGCGTTTATATTGTCTTCGTCAGAAAGCGAAAGAACTGAAGTTGCGAATAATTTTATGCGTCGTTGTCGAAGACGTAATGGTCCATAACTAAGTCGGCTGTCATCAGACAAGTATCAAGTAGAGCTGGCTCAGCTTGTAAGTTTTGATCCAGTTAATTATGGCGGCAAAGTTGGGTTACCGAAGGCTTCCTTCTCAACCAGGTACTGCTTCATCTTTCACGGTTTTCGTCTTCAGTGTATAAAATATACTCCTAGATAGTCGAACGAAAATTATATGTTTATTGTTATTGTTATATTTTATTTCATTATATTTTGTTTCGGAAGGGTCGCCAACGCGATCGCTCGCGATGCACCGATTTCACGTTTGGCCGACAGAAAATTGCGGAACGTTAGTAATTTCATTCAAGGTGTACTGATGTTCGGTAAGATGGTAGTCGAGGAGGAAAGCATGTTTTCGTTATTTCTAATAAAGAGCTCTGAACATAGTGAACATTAGATCTAGATATATCGAAAAATCTCAGCTGCTGGTTAGACCGGAAAATACTCAATCACTTGCCCAATCGAATCGCTCATTCATTTCAAGCTAATGATTGATTGGTGTTGGAATTTCTAGTGGAAACCTTGCATTTAAAACTTTGCCTATCAACAACTGTAACAGACGTAAATTTACGATGAGAAGTACGTACTTCTGCCGAGATTCATCCCAAAGCAACTCTCGATATTATTATAATGGTCTACATTGTACTCAGCAAATATCACACGGTAACACCCCCCTTCCTGGGGGGGTACTCCCTTATTATATAGGTATGTGCGGCCCCAAAGGATATGTTTTTTTTAGTTGTTTAGGTCAGAAATAGGGTCAGAAATCGGGTATGGTTTTTGCACTCTACTCTTGCATTGGTTATGTTTTTAGACGAAGCTATCCTATCAACTAAAAGGCTTTTAGAAAATTGGCCCTATGTAAATACGCGCGCTGATTGCTTTAAAATCATGTTTCTATTAGATTATGAGCTCGAGATTTCTATCGCGTGATAGTTGACGAGGACGCAGCCCGAGTCAACTATCACGCATAGAAATCGAGAGCGAATAATCCAATTGTTTTAGTATAAATCTACTAGACGTTCAAAACTTTATCTAAATCCTCTTCACAGACACTTCGAAAACACCAAGAAACGGCCGTCATTTTTCAACAAGCGCACACTGCTACGCTACTCACTATCTATCATGGAATAGATCCCCTGGTGAGTAGCGTAGCCAATCAGAGAACGGCATTCGTGATAGAACGCTAGTAGATTTATACTAAAACTCGATAGAAACACGGTACATGTTTTCTATTTCTTAAACAAACATTGCCTTTAACATTGGTCTGAAAGGGGGGACTAATTATAAGGCAGGTCTGAAAAAGGGTATGGATTAAAGGGCCTGGTGCCCGTTTCTAGAAAGCCCCGGGAACTTTTCGGGCCCGTAAAGCCATTTTTAGTTCAGCTTTATCTAAAAACGGAGAAGTGTATACGCCTGAAACTTCTTGAATGAAGGGAACCACTGTTCATATTAAGAATACGTGAATAAAGCAGCTCTGTAATCGTAAGGTTCGAGATTTTGCTATGGCTTTCCGGGCCCGAAAAGTTTCCGGGGCTTTCGAGAAACGGGCTCCAGGTCTTGAAGAGGTACTATGATCAAATTTTTACCCGTTGATTTTTTAGGTGTATCACATAGAATTCCATATTTTCAAATAGCTTCAAATATCTGCATCAGTTCCGGAGATATTTAAGTTTGAAAAATGTGCAAAATATGCAAATGATATACACTGAACCCAATATTATATTAAGGTAATTCCATCGAAATAGAACTAACAATAGATTTTCTTTCAAACTTTACCTGTTGGCTGCTTATATCAAGAGAACTTAAAATTTGAAATAAGAAAGGGGGGTTCCCATATTCGTTTAGGAGCAGGAGGACCTTCAATAAACCTAATAATTCCTGAAATTATCTGCTTTAAGAAACGTTTATACTTTAACCATTCACCCTACGTTTAAGAGAGCAGAAAGATAGAAAGAAGGTTAAGCGAGAAATACAACAGTGGATGTACAGTAATAGCCCACGTATAAGAACCTGGGTTTTAAGAACCTGTTAGGCTAAAATTTTCATTTTAAGCCCCCTCCACATAAGAACCTATTAAGGCTA